CTAGGAGCCCCTGGACACTGCGGACAAGGGCTATCAGCCTCCCCTGGACGATTCCCTGGTCAAGGAGTTCGAGCCCGAGGACCGGCCAAAGGGACGTGTTGGGTTTAGGGTTTAGGGTTTAGGTTTTAGGGTTTAGGGTTTAGGGTCTAGGGTTTAGGGTTTAGGATCCTCGAATAATACACCGCAGCGATTTTTGAAGTGCTTCCGAGATGGTCAGGGATGGTCAGAATCGCATGGCACCAAGAATCAGCTATGCCTAGGTAGAGTCACGTCCCGTGTAGCGGGTCCCAGCAACGTGCCAGGGGTACCGTGCCGAAAAGAAGGGTTTTGGATGCATTTTGGTGCACGTGATGGGGAAGCATCAGCAGGCTTAGTGTAGCAAGGAATGCCAGGGGCGAGGGCCCCAAAACAGCACTCAGAACGTTCCTTTTTGGCGGAGGGGCGCGGGAAGGGGGCCAGGCTTAAGGACAGGGATCCCAGAAAGGTTCCCAATGGTTGTGTGGGGGCGGCCCACAGCTCGGAAACCCCCGCTGCGTTTTGCGGCTCCTCCAAGGCACGTCCCACAATGGTGGCCCACAAGTTTTCGGTTTGCAAGGGTTGCTGCTCTGCTTGTTGTAGACACCTCTCGGTGGGAAGCTGAAGCGAATTGGTATGCTCTCCTCATTTGGAGCTTGCATTATAGACCCTAAGCCCCAAACCCTAAACCCTAAACCCTACATAGTAGTACTTAAGTTGAAAGCCCCGCTGAAGAACCATCGCGGCAAGAGCCAAGCCCCCCTTAGTAGGGAACGAGGGAGTTAGGTACCTTGCATGTACCCTTTGAGGGATTTTAGGGTGCCTCATTCCCTCATTCCCTCCGAGGAACCCCTACACCCTAAACCGTAAACCCTAAACCGTAAACCCTAAACCGTAAACCCTAAACCCTAAACCCTAAACCCTAAACCCTAAACCCTAAACCCTAAACCCTAAGCCCTAAACCCTTAACCCTAAACCCTAGACCCTAGACCCTAAACCCTAAACCCTAAACCGGAGGACATGGTCCGAGGTCGCGGACGAGGCCTTGGCAAAGGCTGGGCCCCGTGAAGGATCGGTAGACACCCCGCACCTTTCGGACCTTCCACAAAACGCCTACACCCTGAGCCCTAAACCCTGAACCTTGAACCCGAAACCCTCAACCCAAAGCCCCAAACCCTCAACCCTAAAACCCTAAAACCCTACACCCTAGGCCGGAGGGCCTAAGCCCTAAGCCCTAAGCGTCCCAAGCCCAAAGCCCTAAGCGCCCCAAATCCGACACCTTCAGCCCAACTGGAGCGCACAGGCCGCGGCAAAGGCAAGGGACGCGGACGAGGGCGGCCCCGGCAAGTTTTCGGTTCAGGCATTGTTAGCTAGGTTGGCCCTTGGGGCATTTTAGACTTGCCCTTGCTGGGTTTAAGAGGATCATATTCAGGAATATTTTTCAGAGGGTTTTAAGGGCAATCCTAGTTTGTAACTTTGAACAGTCTGATTAACATATTACCATTGAGCGCATTGCGAATATTTTGATTCGCAATAGCCGTGTTAATCATCAGCCAGACTATTGCTAAACATATTCGCAAAGATTACTTTTTATGATGGTGTTAGTGTATTAATCATATGATTAGGTTGAGAGTGCATGGAGTGGAGTCCTTTGCAGGAGGGGCTGTCGGTGTAGGACCCCAACTTGGAGGTTCATGGTAACCAACTATAACTGTACTCATAGCCCACTTATAAGCCCCTTAAGTGCCCTAATATGGTTATAAGTACAATTATAAGTACCTTAAACCTCAAACCCTAAACCCTAAACCCTAAATCCTAAACCCTAAACCCTAAACCCTATAAGTGCAGTTATAATTTGTTTAATAAGTACCATGAACCTCCAAGAAGGGCACGGTGCCATGCAGTTGAGGGCTGAAAAGAACGCTCAGGAAGGGCCGAGGGCGCGGCAAGGCGCGGCGCTGGGACCTTGTGGTGCAGCTGGAGCCCTCTAGGGTTTAGGGTTTAGGGTTTCGGGTTTAGGGTTTAGGGTTTAGGGTTTCGGGTTTAAGGTCCCTAAGCCCCCTAAACTAAACCGACTGGGGCGGACCGCCAGAAACCAAAGATGCGATCTCCTGACAGGGCAAGGGCAAGGGTGACGACGAGCCTCGCAAGGGCAAGAGCAAGGGGAAAGGCGGGGGGGGGGGGGGAACTCTCTGAATTATTGTCCCATTTATATATATATATATATATGTATATACATAAATACATAAATAAATACAGAAATATAAATATATTTATATACATATATATGTAAATATATCTAAGGCTCAGTATTCCAATAGCATCCCCAAAAGACTCTGCCGTAATTTGAGAGCCTCCCATTCTTGCGCAGATGGCAAGTGAGCAGCACCCTAAACCCTAAACCCTAAACCCTAAACCCTAAACCCTAAACCTAACCCAAAACCCTAAACCTTGCTTCAAGAGCTGAGAGTCGCTCTGCTGGATCGCGAGGAAAGGGGAAGAAGGCAAGGCAAGGCGGGATCTCCGGAGTGCTCTTGCGCAGTGCCTCTGCTCTCTTATTTATTATCTATTTATTATTGTTCTTTAATTATTATTTATTTTATGATTATTATGATTATTATGATATATTATTATGATTATGATTATTATGATGTTATGATGATGATTATTCTTATCAGTAATTGTTTTTTCTCTCTCTCTCTCTCTCTGTCTGTCTCTCGTTTAGGGCTTAGGTTTCAGGGCCCAGGGTCAGGGGCTCAGTTGGGGTTTGAGTGCGTTTGTGTCTATACATGTGTGTGTGTGTGTGTGTATGTGTATGTGTGTGTGTACGTGTTGTGTCGGTGCAGACTGGAGTTGAGTGAGCTTCTTGGGGAGGGCCGCGACTATGACGACTATGAAGACGACTACCCCAAGTCCAAGGGCAAAGGAAAGGGCAAGGGCAAGAGCAAGAGCAAGAGCAAGTGGCCTGCTGGCACTTCTGCCTGGAAGCATCTGGGCCGTCCGTGCTCACCTAAAGCCGGCAAACCCTGAACGCCAGAACCCTGACCCCCCCAAGTTCCGTTGAGGTATTGACTATGATGAGCCAAAGGCCTGCTGTGTCTGCGGGTATGTTGGCTCGGAAAAGATCGCCCCCTCGAACCCTGAACCGTTGGAGATATCAGCTAGAACCACCCCACTACTCCTCTGCCCCCGTCCCAGGGCAAAGGCAAGAAGGCAGGCAAGGGCAAAGGCAAAAGCTCTTGGGAGGACTGACCTGTGGTCGAGGGCAAGTTTCGCTTGGGAAGGCCGTCCTGAACTTCCAGACGGTAACATCCCCTTATACGTATATAACAGGCCGAAATGGGCATTATAGAGGGGGTACCATCCATACTGTAACCCACAACTCTAAACTCCCTGACCCCCGAGAATGCTGTAACCCAGGTGGGCAGATAGTAGCATGCGTAACAGAGTCGAGGCCTTCAAGCCCTAAACCCTATATCCTAAACTACACCCTAAACCCTAAACCCTAAACCCTAAATCCTAACACTACACCCTAATACCGAAACCCTAAACCCTAAACCCTAAACCCTAATGCCAGTGCAGGACTCTTACTCTGCACCATCAAAGTCCAAAGGAAAGGGCAAAGAGAGGAGTGACAAAGGCCACTCGTCTTTAGGGTTTAGGGTTTCGACCCTCTTAACCCTAAACCCGAAACCCTAAACCGTAATTCCTAAACCCTAGAACGCAAAGAAGCCATGTCAGCAAACAGGCTCCCAGGTTTGCACTTCGTGACTGGCAGGCAAGAAGTCCTCCTACAACAGCAGCTGGAGCTATCAGGCAGGGAGTTGGCGCTCTGGGCACGTCTCGAGACCCTAAACCCTAAACCCTAAACCCTAAACCCTAAACCCTAAACCCTAAACCCTAAACCCTAAACCCTAAACCCTAAACCCTAAACCCTAAACCCTAAACCCTAAACCCTAAGCCCTAAGCCCTAAACCCTAAACCCTAAACCCTGAACCTCAGGATGACTACGATCGCAAGCCCGACGATTGGGGCTACCTGGCATTACCAGCCCTTCGGGTTTAGGGTTTAGGGTTTAGGGTTTAGGGTTTAGGGTTTAGGGTTTAGGGTTAGGGTTTAGGGTTTAGGGTTTAGGGTTTAGGGTTTAGGGTTTAGGGTTTAGGGTTTAGGGTTTAGGGTTTAGGGTTTAGGGTTAGGGTTTAGGGTTCAGGGTAGGACCACCGAAGAGACACAGTCAGAGCCGAGTGAGCTCAGGGCTGTTAAGAACTTCACCCTCATCTGGTCGGTAGAGCTCCGTGCCTGTCTTCCGAGGCAGGTCGAGCAAGGGTGGCAAGAGCCAGGGAAAAGGCCGCCGCCGAACGAGTTTCTGATCTCCCTTCAGGAGTTTAGATTTTAGGGTTTAGGGTTTAGGGTTTAGGAGCAGCAGGGTAGTAGCGGTCGGTCATTCTGCAGATGACGCACTTCGCCACTTCGTACTTTTGTGCAGCTTGCCCCCCCTTGTCAACCTCAATCCCAAAACCCTAAACCCTAAACCCAAAACCCTAAACCCCAAAGCCTAAACGCTAAAGCCCTAAAGCCTAAACATCATTCGTTCCAGGCAAGAGCAGCAAGGGCTACTACTCGTCCTACTGAGTGGATCGGGCCTGCGGGTGCTCTGCATTTTCGCCCTTACATCGTCACAGCTGATTGCAGAATGTCCATGGAAGCTTTAGGGTTTAGGGTTTAGGGTTCAGGGGTTGATTCGGCTTGGCCCGTCGAGTCTGCGAGAGCACACGGTTGCGCCGCGTCGAAGCCGGCTAACGGCAAGCGCCTTGCCGCAGATCGTTGCTTGTCAATGGTGTGTATTGATATAGTTGATGCCATAAATCCTGCCTTGAAGCTTCTTGCTATCCCAATGTTTTGCACCCTAAACCCTAAACCCTAAACCCTAAACCCTAAACCCTAAACCCTAAACCCTAAACCCTAAACCCTAAACCCTAAACCAGGCTTAGGTAGGGGCAGGATTTATACCCATCAACACCTAGCAGCCCTCTGGAAGGGATAGTTGCTGAGATGGCTTCCACCTCGGACCGCCTAAGATTCCCGTTTCTGAAGTCAGACACAGACCTGAGGATGTGAGAGCCAGCTCGCACGGCAAAAGATAAACTCTAAACCCTAAACCCTAAACCCTAAACCCTAAACCCTAAACCCTAAACCCTAAACCCTAAACCCTAAACCCTAAACCCTAAACCCTAAACCCTAAACCCTAAACCCTAAGAACCGAAGCTCAGCCTCGCCCTAGTACCGGCATGTCGGCTGCTCCCCCGGTATTCAGTTGCAGTAGACCGCGCCCTGGGAAGGTGGCCCGCCTGTGGTCATTGTGGTGGAGCCTCAGGACCCCCCTAAACCCTAAACCCTAAACCCTAAACCCTAAACCCTAAACCCTAAAGCCTAAACCCCAAACCCTAAACCCTAAACCCTAAATGCGCAGGAGGAAGCTGCCTACAGGCCCCGGACCTGAACAGGGTTTACTGCTATCTGCTTGAGCAGGGCAAGGGTTCTTAAGCACATCGTAGTTGAGTGCTTTTGGCATAGAATGTCTGCTGATATGTGAAGCCTCGCGTTGAAGGAAGGGAATGAGGTCCTCTGCAGCCCGAAAGGAATTGTTGACACAGGCCGCCGTCAGGAGAGGATAAGGCTTGTCTGTGGTTTGTCAGTCGCACACTGCACTTTTCATGCTGCGCTTTCTGCAAGGTGTACTGAGTGTACTATAGGGGTCGGAGAAAAATTACGAATGGTCTTCGTTTATGGCCCCTTTATACTACAGCATAGCAACCTAACCCCCAAAACGCCCCCTATAGTACCTTATTGAGCTGTGCCAGCATAGCATTTCAGCTATACCCCCCTTGGGATTTGTTGTTTAAACATTTTGTTTATATAAAACCCAAGAGGATATTAAGCTTATCATGTTTCTTAAGGTTCTAAGGGGCATATAGTGGGGGTTCGCCCGACTTGGTCAAGGTCAAATTGGCCTGATGCTCTGTTGCTGGTGCTCCCAAGGCGAGCCGCTGAGTTTGGGTTTAGGGATTCGGGTTTAGGGTTTAGGGTTTAGGGTTTAGGGTTTAGGGTTTAGGGTTTAGGGTTTTGGGCGTTGTCTTGGGACTGAGTGCCGCTAGTGGGGACAATCTTCATCGTGGCGTTCTTGCTCTGCAAGAGAAAAAATGCAGTTCGCAGTAGTTTAGTAGAACCCTAAACCCTAAACCCTAAACCCTAAACCCTAAACCCTAAACCCTAAACCCTAAACTATAGAGCCTAAACCCTAAACCCTAAGCCCTAAAGCCTAAAGCCTAAATCCTAAACCCTAAACCTCTAACCCTAAACCCTGAACCCCAAACCCTAAACCCTAAACCCTAAACTGAAGCTACATACTGCAGAATTGCCGTGACGCATGTCTCCCAAGCTGTCTGTGCACCGTCCATTCGGCTCCATGCAGCCATCCTTCTGGCTACGTAAGCTTAGGGGTGGATGCTGGGATTTAGGGTTTAGGGTTTAGGGTTTAGGGTTTAGGCATGGAGCCGGCACTAACTGTTCCCGATTTCCTCGGACATAGGCCTATAGAGTTGCAGGTCTTCCGAAATCAGGGGTTACCTTATTGGGGTCCTTATTGTGATGGGAATCCTACCATTTGGGGTCTTGTTTCGGGGTCCCTTTTGCGTGTGTTGTAGTACACCCTAAACCCTAAACCCTAAACCCTAAACCCTAAACCCTAAACCCTAAACCCTAAACCCTAAACCCTAAACTCTAAACCCTAAACCCTAAACCCTAAACCCTAAACCCTAAACCCTAAACCCTAAACCCTAAACCCCCATATAGACCCCCATATTGTGGATCCGGCTTCTGCGAAGCTGAAAAGATCGCAGCCGAAGGCCGGCGACCACCGCGATCGGCTTTGCTCGGTGGGCCGTGCAGCGGCTCTGCACCGGGGCTGCCGAGCAAGGCACGTCAGGGGGTTTAGGGTTTAGGGTTTAGGGTTTAGGGTTTAGGGTTTAGGGTGTAGGGTTTAGGGTTTAGGGACTGCAGAAGCTGCTCCAGAATCTCGTGTTGCTGTGGCAGCGTAGCCCTGTAATATTACGTGACACGAGTCACGAACTTGCAGAGTTGCTGTCTGGTGATCTTGTGCATGTCTTGCAAATCCCCAAACGAAGTACTCGAAGGTTCATGCGTACTTGTATGTAGGGTCACAAGTACCCTGAATAAGGTTATGACCATAGTTGTCCGACTTGTCCCACTTACAGCCTACTTATAAGTAGCTTAATGAACCTCCAAGCAACCCTAAGCCCTAAGCCCTAAACCCTCAGCTCTCAACCCTAAACCCTAAGCCCCAACCCGAAACCCTAAACCCTAAACCCTAAACCCAAAACCCAAAACCCTAAACCCTAAACCCTAAACCCTAAACCCCAAAACTCCTGGAAGTTAGAGGTACGGGTCGCAAGCTGCGGCTTCCCTTCATCTGGATGGCAGCCCCGGCCCCAGCCAGGACTGGCTCGAGGACCTAGTTTAGGTTCAGGGGTTTAGGGGTTTAGGATTTAGGGTTTGGGGTTTAGGGTTTAGGGTTTAGGGTTAGGGTTTAGGGTTTAGGGTTTAGGGTTTAGGGTTTGGGGTTTAGGCTTTAGGCTTTAGGGTTTAGGGTAGGACTTTTTTAAAAAGAGGCTTGGGTAGGCCAACGAGTCGACGCTCATGTTAGGCAGTGGAGTCGCAAATCCTCAACCCTCAACCCTCAACCCTAAACCTTAAGTCCTAAACCCTAAACCCTAAACCCTACACCCTAAACCCCTGTAAACCTTGGGAGCCTTGAAGCGAACCTGCACCCCTCCTGCAACTCTAAGCTCCCCTTTGGGGGCCGTGACACCTTTTCTGGCTGGTTCTTATTTGGGAATCAGGGAATGAGGTGCCCTATATCAAATAAAAACCCTTAAAGGGTACATGTAGGGCCAAAATTCCCTCATGCCCTACTGAGAACCAGGGGCTCTTGGGGCCAAACCCTCAACCCTAAACCCTAAACCCTAAACCCTAAACCCTAAACCCTAAACCCTAAACCCTAAACCCTAAACCCTAAACCCTAAACCCTAAACCCTAAACCCTAAACCCTAAACCCTAAACCCTGAACCCTGTACTGGGACTCCTTCATGAAGCACACTTTTGGGTGAACCTCGCAAGGAGCCTACAGCCTAAGCCCTAAACCCTAAACCCTAAACCCTAAACCCTAAACCCTAAACCCTAAACCCTAAACCCTAAACCCTAAACCCTAAACCCTAAACCCTGAACCCTAAACCCTGAACCCCAACCTCGTATTTTGTTCTGCAGGCTTTCTAGCAGAACAGTCGCAGCATTTGGCACCCAGGGTTTAGTAATAGTTTAGGCTTTTTGGGCTTTGGGCTTAGGGTTTTAGCCACCAGCTTGACTGCTCGGGGTAATGCTTACTCGGAGGCTTTCGACCTTCCACGCCCCTGACCCTGAACCCTGAACCCTAAACCCTAAACCCTAAACCCCAAACCGCACACCCTAAACCCACCACCCTAGAACCTAAACCCTAAACCCTAAACCCGAAACCCTAAACCCTAAACCCTAAACCCTACACTCTAACCCTAGACCCTAGTCTAAGCACGCAGCATGTGAACGGCGTGTCAACGATGGACACACTGGACGCCTTGGGCCTGCTCTCTGAAGATGCCGCCCAGTCTGAAATCATGGTGTGAGGGGTCTAGGGTTTAGGGTTTAGGGTTTGGGGTTTAGGGTTTAGGGTTTGGGGTTTAGGGTTTAGGGTTTAGGGTTTGGGGTTTAGGGTTTAGGATTGAGACGTCGTTGTGAGGTTGTGGGGGGTTCGGCCTTAGGACTTAGGAGGCTCCCGAGCACATCCCTGATCTCTGCTAGGAGGACCCGGAGGATCCTGGCAAGTTGCCTGGGGAGTTGCCCGAGAAGCCACTTGACTTTCAGGTGCGCTCCTGGATGAGGGTGTAGGGCTGAGGGTTTAGGGTTTAGGGTTTAGGGTTTAGGGTTTAGGGTTTAGGGTAAGATACTATGCAGTGTACAGTTCTTTTTGTATGTTGTGCAACATAGCATGGTATACTAGTCTAATCATCAATCAATATAACATATGTTCGAGTGTATGTATACCCTAAACCCTCAACCCTAACCCTCAACCCTCAACCCTAAACCCTAAACCCTAAACCCTAAACCCTCAACCCTAAACCCTAAACGCTAAACCCTCAACCCTAAACCCTAAACCCGAAACCTCAAGCAGGCGCTGCAGCCTCACCTGGCTGCCGAGATAGCCGTCGAATCCGACGGTCTTGAGCGTAGCTTCGAAACAAATGTGATCTAGAGTTGAGGGTGTAGGGTTTAGGGTTCAGGGTTAGGGTTTAGGGTTTAGGGTTTAGGGTTTAGGGTTTAGGGTTTAGGGTTTAGGGTTTAGGGTTTAGGGTTTAGGGTTTAGGGTTGAGGGTTGAGGGTTGAGGGTTGAGGGTTGAGGGTTGAGGGTTGAGGGTTTCGGGTTTTGCTGCGCACTTTGAGCTGACCTTCCTCAAGGAGTAGCCAATGGATAAGTAGCGAGAAGTCCTTCTTGCGAGAAGCGAAGTGGTCTTCGGGAGCTCTAGAGGGATGCAGCTGTGCTGCCTCTGACATGCTCACATGACTTTTTTCATATACGCATAAATATACACAGATATATAGGGAAAATAGAATATATGTGTATATATATATATGTATACAACTATATATATATATATAATCGGAAGGCTTAGTTGTAATAGCAATGATGGAAGACTTCTTCTCCAGGCATCTACAACAAGCTGAGAGAGAAGCTGTCCACCGCAGCTTGTGACGATGACGAGGTGTTGGTTTCGCACCTTATTGACCACGAGGAAAGTTCTTGGAGGTTCATGGGTAGTTGTAGGTGGGGTTATAAGTCGGGTAGCAATCTGTATGACTGGTCACAACCTTTTTAAGGGTACGTCAAACCCTCCCCTGAACCTCCCAGTACGGTAGTAAGGCAAACCCTAAACCTTAAACCTTAAACCCTAAACCCTAAACGCTGATCTCTTGCCTGCCCGTCCATCGGAGCTCCCCGACCGGCATCAAGTGTAAAAGATCAGCACCAAAGCATGTTGGTGCAGGCACTCATGACTGCAGGAGGAGGCGGGGCGGTCAGGAGTGGCTGAGGCTCCGGGGAACAAGATCCATTCCAGGGCACCGCGCGCGCATTCTCACGCTGCAGCGTTACGCTCATGCATTGCCAGAGAGCTGCTCTGCGATGGCACCGCTGGGTTCGCCCGTTCGGGCGGCGATCAGGGTGGCCCCCTCCGATTGTTTCTCTGTTTCCTTCCAATCTGCCCAAGCGAGGATCGCGGCCCGCAGCAATAGAGTCGACAGATGTCTTTCCCACCGGCATCAAGGTTGTGAGAGCAAGCGTTATGAACAGCTTCGTGCAGAAGCTGAAAGATGCCGGCTGGCTACCTTCTGATCAATGCCATCGGCTACAGCTGTTCGCCAGACCAAGAGGCTTTGGTCCTTCCAAGTGAGAGTCGTGCCGGCCCCGGGTTCCTGGCAGCATTCGCACCAATGATGACGGATGCTGAAAAGTTCATTCACAACCGCTCGAAGCGAGAGGGGCTCGGCTTCGACTTCATCACCGCCTTGGAACAGGAAATCCAGCAGGGATCCTATCTGGTGCCTGCGGACTTCGGCCCGTCCGTATTCGTGGAGTGGGGGAGGACTTCGTACCGCATCTTCAGGAACGGCCTGAGGTTGCGCCAAGAGGAGATGAACGCCGACTCCGCCAGCCACGATGCGAATCTTGAGCGCGTCAAAAACCACGTGATGGCTCTCTGCGGCGAACGCCAGCAGGTGCTTATTGCCACGACTGGGTTTCTGAGTGAGGAAGAAAAGACGGCCTGGAAGAGAACGAGGTCACCTCGGAGCCATCTACGCCAAGCGGCAAAGGCCCCCAAGAGGCCCACGCAGAAGACATGCATTGAGTTGTTCCTGTGAGGGCTTGACGGGGCTGTCGCTGCAAAAACAGGCAGATTAGCCGCTACCTTCGGGCAGGAGACCTGCCAAGCCCTAAGCCCTAAACCGTAAACCCCCTAAACCCTAAACCCGAAGCCCGAAGCCCTAAACCCTAAACCCCAAACCCGAAACCCTAAACCCTAAACCTAAACCCTAAACCCTAAACCCTAAACCCTAAACCCTAAACCCTAAACCCTACACTGAGTGAGCCCAGGGGCGTCGAGCGCACCCAGCCTCCAAGCCAGCCAACGCCGCAAGAGGAGGTGGCGCAGCAGCCGAGAAGGAGAGAGCTTGATGTAGGGATTAGGGTTTAGGGTTTCGGGTTTCGGGTTTAGGGGTTTTAATTAAGGTTTAGGGGTTTAGGGGTTTTAGGGTTTAGGGGTTTAGGGTTTAGGGTGTAGGGTTTCGGGTTTAGGGGTTTTCGGGTTTAGGGGTTTAGGGTGTAGGGTTTTTAGGGTTTAGGGGTTGCAGGGTTCAGGGTTTCCACTCTTTTTTCTTCTCTTTTCTCTTCGCTCACCGAGTCGACGAAGCGTTGAGCCTAACGAAGGGTTTAGAGCAATCAGAAGTCTGAGTTGCACGTTTCTTCACTAGATACGCCGATTCCAGTCGTGAATGCTGCTCCGAGCCATGGTATCCTCAAGTAAGTATTCTCTTGAATATCGAGCTCTTGTGTCTGAAAAAGCGGATGTTGCACGGTATCGGGGGCTCATATTTTGACTATATTTGACTTGTATTTAGGGTATCAAGAAACGACCAATTCAGGGTGCTGCGCACAGGTTTCCGGTTGATGTTGGGGCCATGGTCTTGCGCAAGAGCCCGGGTCACCATCAGAGTCGTGGGGTGCTACAGAAGCCTTTGAGTAAATTTCAGAGTCTCAGAGCACCAGATGAGGTCAGAAGGTAAGCATTCTAGACGGAACCATCTTGAGGATTCATTTTTTTTCCTTCTTCCGTTGACTTGAGCCCTAAACCCTAAACCCTAAACCCTAAACCCTAAACCCTAAACCCTGAACCCGTCAGGAGGCAGGCCTCGCCTTCTTCTCTGGTGGAAGCTGCTTATGAGAAGTCCCAGCCGCAGAAGATCCTGGACTACAGTGCCGAGCAGTCGGAAGGTGACCTGAGGCTCCAGGGCCTCTTGCAGGGAGACTTCTGCCGAAACTGGGGTCATTGTTGATAATCATTTTTATAAATTTTTAGGAATACTTAAAACCCAAGAAGGAGCAAGAATGATCATCATTTAATAGTGCCACGACCATGGTGCAGGAAAGTGCGGGATGAAGATGTGCCGGTGCGTGGACTACTCGGACCACGCGCGGAAGAGGCAGAAAGTGTCTGCGCTTCCAGGCCCCAACAGGGCCTTGAAGCGCAGAGGTTAGTCCCGTAGCCATTTATTGGGCTTACTTCTCCAACAGCTGAATTTTAAACTTTTTGGGTTTCCTTATTTAGTAGGAATAACAAAAGTTTAACCTTTTTTTCCCTTGGTTATTGGAGAAGTAAGTGGGACATTCCCCTGGAAGAGGGGCGCCCCTCCAAAGGGAGGTCCAATGATTGTCCAATGATTGGCCGAAGCCGGGGGACAAAAAACTCGGCCCCCAAAGTGAGGCCGAAGGACATGCCCTGACAGACGGCCCGCGGGTGGCGTTGGAGAGCGCTTTGAGGGTTCATCAGGGTACTTATAAGAGGGGTCAAAAGTGCACTAGGATAAGGTTATCACCAGAGGTACCCTGCTTCTATCCGTACTTATAAGTGCCCCAATGAACCTCCAAGGCAGATGTGCAAAGACTGTGAAGATGCCCAGGGCCTGTGCGCTGCAAAATCTTCAAGCCCTCAACCGCTTCCCGGTGCCGAGGACGATCTGCTCGTGAGCTTCTACAGCTGCTTGGTACATCAGCTTGTATGCTTGTCCGGCTGGGGTTGCTTAACACGCGGATGCTAAGGGGGTACCCAGAGATAGAGCTCCTGCCGAGGGCTGGAGAAGGTCCTGCCCGCAGGCCAGGCCCACTCGCGTGACAAGAGGACATGTGCCTCCAAGCTCGAGAGAGTCAATGAGTCATTTACGTGCAGAGTGGTTGAAGTGGACGTTGAAGTAAGCAGAGCCGTTCAAAAACATTACGCTGCCCTGGGCAAAGCCCTGCCTGCCCAAGCTCCCCCCCCCCCCTGGCAGCAAGTGGCCATGAGGATTTGGCTCGGAGTGCTACAGTTTGGGGTTTAGGGTTCAGGGTTCAGGGTTTAGGGTTTGGGGTTTAGGGTTTGGGGTTTAGGGTTTGGGGTAAGGGGCTCACCCGCTCCGGTGAACTTCTGTCACGACGCCAGAGGATCCGCCGAGCGCTCCCCCGAGCTGGCTTTCAGGAGGCCTGGTGACGCACCACAACAAGATTGGGGTGTATGAAAATAGGGGGAACCCGAATATGGACCTCAAATAGTAGGATTGACCTTATAATAAGGACCCCAATAAGGTACCCCCTAATTTCGGCAACCCCCCACATGCTCTCTGTTTCAGGGGGCGGGGGGGGGTGAAGCAGTTTGAAGGCGTCTCCCCGAAGAAGCTCCACTAAAAGAGAAGGGGAGCCTCGCCTCAAGAGTCTTAATGAGGCTTTCCTGGCGGTGCAGCGCAGAGAGGAGCCCTGCTTGGTGCGAAGGGAAGCAGCCGCGTGAGTGCTTGCGACTTTGCCTCGTCCTCAACTCAACACCCAACATCCCAAACCCTCAACCCTCAACCCTCAACCCTCAACCCTCAACCCTCAACCCTCAACCCTCAACCCTCAACCCTCAACGCGAAACCCTAAACCCTAAACCCTAAAACCCTGAACCCTCAACCCTAAACCCCAAACCCTCAACCCTCAACCCTCAACCCTCAACCCTCAACCCTAAACCCTAAACCCTAAACCCTAAACCCTAAACCCTAAACCTCCAGAGCAGGACATCTGCAAAGCTGCTGTGGCGGGCTTCCTGCGCGACCGGGGTGGCAACCTCCACATCACGATCCTCGCCCCGGGAGTTGGCTGCGATTTCAAGTTCATGAAGATGAACCCTGAGCCCTAAACCCTAAACCCCTAAACCCCTAAACCCTAAACCCTAAACCCTAAACCCTAAACCCTAAACCCTAAACCCTAAACCCCAAACCCTAAACCCTAAACCCTAGACCCTAAGCCCGGAAATATGCTCTGTAGCAAGAAATCAGTAGGTGCAGATGCCCCAGGAAGGACTGGGCGATCGACGGCTCCTTGTCCCTCCAGAAGGCCGGGTGGTGCAGGGTTTCTGTGTTGAAGGGTGTAAGAGTTTAAGGGTTTAAGGGTTCAAGAGTTTAAGGGTTTAAGGGTTTGAGGGTTCGAGGGTTTGAGCGTTTAAGGGTTTAAGGGTTTAGGGGTTTAAACCCTTTAAGGGTATAAGGGTTTGAGATTTCGCTCGGGGTCCGGTCCCACCGTTGTCGGGCTGATGCGACCTCTCGCAGCTGGCTTTTGTGCTGTTTTGTTCTCTTCGGGATGTGAAGAGTTTCGGGTTTCGAGTTTAGGGTTCTGTCGGGTGACTTTGCCCATCTCGGCTTTGGGGCGAGGAAAGCTTACTGCGTTTTAGGGTTTAGGGCTGCCTGGGCTGTTGCACCTGCTGCCTTAGGCTTCTCTTGGCAAGCCATTGGTACCCCGTTCTGGTTCAAGGCTCCCTCATAAAGTAGCCCCCCCCCCCCCCCCCAATGGTACCCCTATTGTGAGATTACGTTGGGATGTTCCCCCGTATGCTAACAGTCCTCAGTAGGGATGATAATTGGGGGGGGGGGTGGGGTACCATCATCCCTATGAAGGACTGCTATAAGGAGGAACATCCTAAAGAATACGGTATGATACGGTTACTTACCGGGCTACCAAGTTCTCTTTTTCGGAAAAAGGTGGTCTTGCTGAACCTGGTGCGGCTGCGTGAGCTGCAGATCGAGTACTGCCCTGCGCTCCGTCACTCGGTTGACACAGAGTTCGGGGCTTCCCGAGCAAGGATTCTTGTATTGGCTTAGGATTTAGGGTTTAGGGTTTCGGGTTTAGGGTTTTAGGGTTTTAGTGTTTTAGGGTTTTAGGGTTTTAGGGTTTTAGGGTTTTAGGGTTTTAGGGTTTTAGGGTTTTAGGGTTTTAGGGTTTTAGGGTTTTAGGGTTTTAGGTTTTTAGGGCTTTAGGGTTTTAGGGTTTTAGGGTTGTGGGGTCTGCCGGTATACACTAGGGGTGACTGAAGGCTCAAACGGTTCGAGTGCTGGGCCCGGTTGCGGAGGCCTGGCCAAAGAAAAGAGGAGAGGCTCATGGCAGTACAAGGGCCCCTAAACCCTAAACCCTAAACCCTAAACCCTAAACCCTAAACCCTAAACCCTAAACCCTAAACCCTAAACCCTAAACCCTAAACCCTAAACCCTAAACCCTCAAACCTAAAAAACCCTAAGACCTCAGCCACCACTTGAACACCAACGCATCAGGCAAGTCCGAAGACTTGGCCCTCTGCTACGAGGTCATTCGAGCCACAGGCCGCCACCCAGGGAGACAAGGTTTAGGGTTTAGGGTTTAGGGTTTAGGGTTTAGGGTTTAGGGTTTAGGGTTTAGGGTTTAGGGTTTAGGGTTTAGGGTTTAGGGTTGCGGGTTTCGGGTTTAAGGCTTAAGGGTGTTTTGGGACATTCTCAGTACACTCATGGTGGTAGGGTGTGGGGTTCAGTCTCGCAACCTCATGCTTACATGCATTCAGGGTGCCTAACCCTAAACCCAAAACCCAAAACCCAAAACCCAAAACCCTAAACCCTAAACCCTAAACCCTTAACGCGGAAGTGGCGTGCAAGTTCCGGAGATCTCTGCAGGAAATCTTCTCAAGTGCCAGTGCTATGCCTACCGCGCGATCCACCTCGAGCGGGGTGGCGCGATTTGAATCTGTGTGCTGGAGCAGGTCTCAAACTGTGAGGGAAGCATCTCAAAAACGATGATTTTCAAGCGTTTTCAGCGAAGCTTGTGTGCCAAGGTGGTGCGGAGGAGGTGCGGAAGGAGTGCCGTGGCAGCCTTTCGAGCGGCTACGGCGAGCCTGCTCGGCTTCTCTTGGGAGGGCGGCCTGTACTTCAAGCCTTGCCGACGGGGCAGAAGGTTGCCGCAGAGGCCTTGCTTGCCTGGATGGCCCAGGGGAGGAGCCCCAGCGCCGCAGATGAGCATGGGGACCACAACGATGGCGCGGAGGACGTGTCAGAGGCACTGCTAGACAGGCCTTCCGACTTGCCCAAGGCTCAGCCACCAGCACGAGCTTCCAATGAAGAGAGATCGCCGCCCGCTGCGCAAGAGGGCTCCAAAGCAGGGGCTGGCAAGTCTGTAGCATGGTTGACCAAACTGCCCCTCGGCAGCCCAGTGGTACCCTTTGCCCTTCTTCTGGTTCAAGGGTCTCACATAATGTAATATAAAGTAATATAAAGTAATATACAGTAAGATAAAGTAATATAAAGAAACATGCAGTAATATAAAGTAATACAAAGTAATACAAAGTAATACAAAGTAATACAAAGTAATACAAAGTAATACAAAGTAATACAAAGTAAAGTAACCAACCCGCAAAAGGGTGCCCTTAATTAGAACCATGGTTCTCCGGGGCTACCGAGGCCCAAGGCTGGGCGTCAGGGAGAGGAAGGAGATCCCGTGCGAAAGCGCCGCAGGGCGCAATCTGCACGATGACGATGACGTGCTCCTCTCCAGAAGCCAGAAGATGTGCGCTGCTACTTTCTATGTGCACGCATAAAAAGTAGCAGGACAAAATTCCTGGAGGTGCTCAAGGCTTCTCTGCTCTCGCGATCTCAGGAGGGTCTGCAAGGAGCTTCAGAGTCATGTCGCCACCCAGTCCACCACGATGGAGCGATGAAGATGCCTCGGCAGTGGCAACGGAGCTCAAGAGACGCCAGCAAGCAGTTTTAAGCCACGGGGAGATATGGACTTCCGAGGCGGAAGCAGGTAGCACTTCATGCGGCCTGGTGCGGGGCCTTAGATCGATTTAGGGATGCTCACGTTGGTGCTCCTCATGCGGGCTCGAAAAGAATCGTTTAGGGTCACCCAGATGCCCTGCCGGGTTTAGGGTTTAGGGTTTAGGGTTTAGGGTTTAGGGTTTATAGGTCCTCAAAGTGATGCAAGAAGCCTTTTAGCACTCCGAATGCTGCTGGGCTTGGAACCGAAGCCGCATCTGCCGTGTAAGTTTCAAGCGCTCCGGGGAGGAGCTGCTGCCAGCAGTGTGTACCTGCAGGGTAGGTTCAAGTACAGTCTATTGCATTTGTCAAAAAGAGGCTATAGCCACGCATCTTGACGTTGTTACGCCATGTCGTGTGCGGCACATTGTAGCGACTGAGCAATTGTCCGCGCTTCGACAACGCTGGGGCCATGGCGCGGTACCAGAGCTTCGTATACCAGCCCAACTTTCTGGCCGCTTACGCAGCAATCCTGCAGTCACGTCAGGAG